TCAGTGTGGTGGGAGAGAGAGAGAGAGAGAGCTGACTCAGTGTGGTGTGTGTAGGGATTGGGGAGGAAGAGAGTGAAATATGGAAAGAAATATCAATAGCCTGAAATACCTGGCGCAGGGCAGTTAATCATAAGGCCGCTCCAAAGAGAAAAGACCGAGGGAGAATGTTGAGGAGGAAGGTCTTGAGGAGGCAGAAGACGTGCTGGTGGAAGAGACAGACAAGGACAAAGGAGGTGCGAGGAAGGAAGAGCGAGAGGAGGAGGAAGTGTGTTAGGTGAAATGCGTTTTTCTCTCTCTCCTTCTTGCGCATGTGCAACCGTGTTGAGATCTTAAAAGAGATGGAGCGATCTTGATAACAAATGGAGCGTTTACGTCCACCGGGTAAAGAAAATGAAGCACTTCTTAGGTCAGGCGTGACGGAAGAAGGGGGCCGGTCGAGGGAGGAAGGGGGAGTTGGGGAGTAGGAGGGAGGGAGGAATGGAAGGAGGAGGTCAGGTGGTGATCGGGCTGAGGAAGGAAGGGGAGGAAGGAGATCGGGGGAAGAAGGAGGTCAGACAGAGATCGGGCGAACGAAGGGGGCTAACGAAGAGGGGTGGGAATGAGGCGGCCAGGCGGACGGAGGCCAGAGGGGGAGGGGTTGAAGAGAAGGTGCGGAGGAGGCCAGTAGGAAGAAGGGGAAAGGCGGCGGAGAGTAGGGAGGAGGCGGAGAGTAGGGAGGAAGCAGGAGGTCAGCAGGTGGAGATCGGGCAAAAGAAGGAAGGGGAGGAAGGAGATTGGGTGAAGGAGGAGGTCCGCGCAAATCGGGCGGAGGAAGGAGGAGGACGGAGGAGATAGAGGGAAGGATGTCAGGCGGAGATTGGGCGAAGGAAGGGAAGGGGAGTGAGGTGGCCAGGCGAAGGGAGGGCAGAGGGAGGTTTTAAGAGAAGGTCCAGAGGAGGCCGGGAGAAAAGGGAGGCGGCAGGGAGAAGTAGGGCGGAGGGATGACAGAAAGCAGAACGTCGTTTAGAGGCTGAGTGACGTATGGAGGAAGGGAATAGGTAAGGGGGAGACGAGCAGGGAAAAAGCGTGAAGAGGAAGAAGAGGAAGTGGAAGGAGGCCGGGAGGAAGGGGAAAGACGGCAGGGTGAAGTCGGGCGGAGGGAGGGCAGATGGAAGGTGGAGGGAGGGCAGAGGTTGGGTCGGGTACGGAGCAAGGGAAGAGGTCAGGCGAAGGTGGAAGGGGGAGGGGGGAGAGAGAGAGAGAGAGAGAGAGAGAGAGAGAGAGAGAGAGAGAGACATACGCAAATGGATTGGTGGGAGAAGGAGAGTGAAGAGGGGCGCGTGAGAATTGGGGAAAGGAGGGGAGAGAAGGGCAGCAGAAGCCACAGTAGGACGGGAGGAGGAAAGAATTTGAAGAGGCGCAGAGCGATAGCGCGGGTGGAGTTGGAAGAAGAGGAGGAGGGGGCGCATGGCACAACGTCATGGGAGGGAAGGGAGAGTCGAGGGGTAAGGATGGTACAGTGACAAAGGGGAAGAGTGGGAGGGATAGCGGTACATGTCATTGATGGGGGAAAGATGGGGGGACGGGGAAGGGGGGCAGGGCTAAGGTGGAGTGTGGACGACCCAAAATCGCGCCGCGTGGCAGCCCCGCAAGGAGCGATTTTTTCTCTATTTCTTTCTTTTCCCCCTTATGTGTGCTTTTGTGTGTGTGTGTGTGTGTGTGAGAGAGAGAGAGGGGGAGAGAGAGAGAGAGAGAGAGAGAGAGAGAGAGAGAGAGAGAGAGAGAGAGAGAGAGAGAGAGAGAGAGAGAGA